CACATATATATATATATATATATATATATATATAATTATCTTGATTAATGGTGACAGATAAAATGCACAAAGCACCCGTTGTGTTCGGGAAAATCGGTACGAGTTGTGATAACCGATTTTTGCCCGGGTGGGCTCTGCGTATCGGACACTGCCCATTTTGACCTTAGTGGAACAGCTTTTGGCGCCATGGCCCTCCCCGGACAAGAGGGCAAGCTTCGTGACGCTGGAATACTTCAAATTCGATTTGCACGGTCTGATTATTATTATTATTACTATTACTACTATTATTATTATTATTATTATTATTATTATTATTATTATTATTATTATGCCCCAAGTTTACTTTTTCTTATTCCATTGTAGTGTCGCATGCGATTATGCCGGGAAAACCATTGTGTTTAGGGTTGACCCAGGGTCAAATCCTAGCTACATTGCAATGGTAATCGAATTCGAAGAAGGAGATGGAGATCTGGCTCGGGTGGAGCTACAACAAGCCTCAAACGAGCCGGGCGAGTGGTGGGAAATGAACCAATCGTGGGGTGCCGTTTGGCAGCTGAACCCTGGCTCGAAGCTCAATCCTCCGTTTTCAGTTCGATTGACATCTCAATATTCTGGCCGGACTTTAGTGGCTGAAAACGTGATTCCGGTTGGTTGGACTCCCGGTGGAACTTATCGATCTGTGGTCAATTATCTTTGAGAGTATGAGTAATCGAGCTGGAATTCGACTCGTCTTTATGAATTGCCTTAACTATTAGGTTTTAAGAGTGTGAGTATTGTTGTGTGAAGTATAAAGCTAAATTTTGTAGCGTCCAATGCAATTTTTATTTGGAAATTGCATGGGGGATGCATATATATTAATTAATTAGTAGGCATATGCAAGTGTTTAATTTTTTACTTTTCTTATGTTTTATTTGTAGTATTTTATTTTCCTTTTTGTGTGCGAATTATCAAGTTTGTATGCCGCTTGTCTTGGCCATTTACGGTTGCCGGTGGGCCGGCGCCGCCGTCCAACTCCTGGGAAATTGCCTCGAGGGAATAATATGATTGTTTGTAATTTGTGTTGAATATATGATGGTGTGGATTGTACTCTATACATCAATATATGTATTGTGCGGTGTACCTATTAGTTTACTTGAGAGTATGCACAAGACTTTGAATTTAAAGAGCATCTTGATTAAATTAAAATGCATGCATTTACTAATTCAAATAATCTTCTTTTTGACTTGCTATTTTCTCTTTTTCAACATTGATGATTATTAAATAATTAAGTTAGTGCTGTTTTAGATTGTGTTGATTTCAATTAATTACACTCGTTGAAAATAACATTTAATTTTAAGGGCATAAAATCAAACAGATAGATGTTGAAATTAACTATGAAGAATCTTTATGGCTTTTAGGATGGTGAAATTCACATAATTAAATTTAAAAGTCAGAATGAAGATTTAGTTGGATATGATCATGGCCGGAAGTCCTTAAAATCCAAACACGGGCCAAAAAAGAAAAAAAAAAAAATTGTAGCAGAAATGATCATACATTCAATGTGTTTGGATTTTAAGAATAATAAAGAGCGGGAAATCATTTCTGCTACAATTTTGTAGTATTTGTAGTATTTATTTTGGATATAAATATATGTCCATTAGATTTTGGAAATAATATTTATTTTGGATATATATATATATATATATAAACATAATTAAGAAAATATTATTTTTGACAAATTAGTTGTATAACATCGCATTAAATAATATTATTTTGTGGATTATATTCTTTATTATTCATTGTACATTTATTGTTTATAATTTAACGATAAAATATAAATTACTTTACTTACTTTTTATAGTAAAAGTATCAATATTTCAAAATATCAGTATCATTCAAGGGTAAACTATAAAACTAGCCATTAGATGCCAAATTCTATTGGATTTTACTGAAATATAATCTCAGCCTCCAAAGGTAGTAAATTAAAAGGCACATTTTCAAAACGATTATCATAATAAAAATTCATTTTCCAAACACTGCCCAATATGTCCTCATTATCAATTGCGAAAATAATAATAATAATAATAATAATAATAATACTCCTACAATGTTAAACATGATAACTAATCATTTCACTTTATATTTAATTTAATTTTCTATTGTTTTTGTATTAATGATTATTTAATTGGTACATCTATACAAATAACTTTTTATCAAATTGATGTATTGGAGATACTAGTTTAATTTAAATTTCTACTCTTTTAACATTATTTCTACATGAATTAACATTACAATTATTGATTGACATGTGTTAAAAATCATTATTTTTCAAAACTATAACGTTAGAGCAATATGTTAAAAATCATTGTCTTTCAAAGCTATACTCTATGATATACTCAAAAACTTACCCAAAAAAAAAATAATTTTTTTCTTTTATTCAAAAGCAATTCTTTTGTTCAATTTAATAACAGTCCAC